CTTTTAGCGTTCAAGGCATAGGTTAAAGGTTTTTGATCCGTAAATATCACAAAATCTCTGCCATGAAGTAGGTGGTTAAAATGTTTAACAGCCAGATAAATAGCCACTAGTTCCCTACCAAAAGTACTATATCGCGTTTGGGTTGGTTCAAGCTTCTTTGAAAAGAAGGCAAGTGGTTCGACCTCATTATTCACTCGCTGTTGTAGTACCGCACCTACTGCTGCCTGAGATGCATCTGTACACAAGGTTAGTGTTGCTTCCGGATCAGGGCTTAAGTAGTTCAGGATGGTAGTAGAAGCAATTGCTGTTTTAGCTGCAGAGAAAGCATCTTTCGCTTGGGAGGGTAATGTGGACTTTTTGACTTTACCTTTTAACACCTCCGTCAAAGGTTATAGTATGGCTGAGCAGTGTGGAATAAAGCGACGATAAAAATTGATCATCCCCAAGAAACGTCGAAGGTTATTCCAGGAATCGGGTTCTGGAAAGTTCTTGATGGCTTCTATTTTTGTATCCAACGGTTTAATTCCATGTTTGTCGATCAAGTGACCTAAAAACTCTTAACTCTCAACCACAAAAACACATTTGGATGGGTTAATAACTATGCCATATTTCTGGAATCTTTCAAGTAATTGATGTATGTGATCAGTGAGTTCGTGAAACGAACTGCTAGCTATTAATACTTCATCGACATACACGAAAACAAGATTTAGGCCCTTGATGACCTCATCCATAAATCGTTGAAATGTATGTGTGGCGTTCTTTAATGCAAATGGCATTCTCAGGAATTCAAACAAACCAAATGGAGCAATGATGGCTGTTTTTGCTATGTCCTCGGATGCTACTAAGATCTAATGGTACGCTCGCACAAGGTCGATTTCAGAAAAAAATTGTTTGTCATGTAAAGTGAGCGAAAAATCGTGTAAATGAGGGATTGGGCAACGGTCCGGTAACGTTAGGTTATTCAATAACCTATAATCACCACAGGGTCGCCAATCTTGATCCCGCTTGGACATCATATATAGTGGGGATGGCCATGGGCTACTTGACGGACGTATTATACCTAATTGCATCATGTGGTCAAACTCAGCTTTGCAACTTTCAGTTTGTCCAGTGGTAATTGGCGTGGACGTGCCGATGTTGGTTGACCTTTAGCGATGATGTACTACAGAATGTTGAATCGTGCTTTCACTGTAGTCCGGTCTCGTTATTTTGGGAAATTTAGATAAAATAGTGGCGAATATGTCGTTTCCTGGAGTGTCAATTTTAATACTACGTATGTGGTAGTCCAACTGAGTTCCCAGGACTTAAAGTTTTGTGTAGGTATCGATAAGTTTTCTTCTTTTTAAGTCAACTAATAAGTTGTAGAAGCTTAAAAAATGTGCACCTAATATAGGGTGGCGGACATCAGCAATATTAAACACCCAGGTTAAATGACGTCTAATTCCCAAGTCTAATGTTAGAAATTGTTCACCAAATGTCTTTATTTCAATCTTATTAGCCGCCTTTGGGGTATATTTTCCACTCTTAGCAATCGGTTTGTTGGCTAAGGTACCTGGGATGACCCTGACTTCGGCTCCCGTATCTACTAAGAATTTGTATCCTGAAGTTTTATCGAGGACATGGAAAAGGCGAGTGTGTAGGAAGGCCTAAAAGGATATTATAACACTATTATAGTCTTCGGTCAAAGGCCGTGGCCAATAAAGCAGAAGGATAGACGACGTAGATAACGTGCTATATTTCAATCAGCGCGGTAGTAAAAAGTATATTCCATTTATCAAAACAACTACCATCGTTTTTAAAAAAGTGATACAGAAAAAGCAACAGATATTGAATAAAATGTGGTTACAAAAATCACGGAATATTCGTCACGATATATATTCACGATGGCACGTTCCTTTTCATGATCCGGTTTACGTCCATGAGAATCGATAATCGTTTCCAAGTGTAAAATACTCAATAAACTAACCGTCTTCTACTTTCACATGAAAACCATACTCCAATACGAGTCGAAACGTCTTGTGAGTGATCAGTGTTCTTTTTCAATTCTGCTGGCAACAATAATATCTTTCATATATGTTATACTAAACTTTATATCACTTAACATGGTGTCAATTACGTGCTGAAAAATTGCCGGAGCATATGTTATACCAGAAGGTAGCCTATTATATCGGGACAATACTCGATGTAAATTTGTTGTCACCAAGAATCTACAGTCTATTCCGACTCCCACTTATAGCTATGCATCTGAAAAACCAATCATCGAAAATATAGAGCAATCATTGAACTTGGGGGTTAGGTCCTCTGGGATGGGTAAAAGGTCAAGATGGTTCTGTAGTGCTTTGTTTAACCCATTGGATAAGTCTCCATACACACGTAATTTATCATCAGATCACCTTGCAACCACTGCTAGTGTTGCACATGTATAATGTTTCATATGAAAAATGACTCCAAATCTCTGCTGCCTGTCACGTTCTGTATCTAAGGCACCAGTGATCAAATAAGGTACCGATCTACTTGAACGGTTACAGGTTTCACTCCCTGCTGAACAAATATACAAGCATTTAATTTCTCGCATAATCACAATTAATCCTCAGTGACATCTGAAAACTTATCATGCAATTCTTTAACGCATAACTGGATAAGCTCAATTGGGGGTGATTTAAATGCTGATGAATATTACAATATATTGCAGACAGAGTAACAGAAATTAAACGCATTAGACAGTAGTGTCATTTATTTGTTTCTTCTACGTCTTGTGTTTTAACTTTGTTTAAGTCTCTTTCTAACCGGACATTATGTTGCTCGATCTTCCTTGCCGGGGCCTTTTCTATTTGATCTTGGTTAAATATTCACCGTTTACTACTTTACCTACTGTTGAGTCTTGCCGGATCAGTTTGAGTAAGATCGTTTTTGATTAAAGTCAAGGTTATGGCGTGGTTCACCGTATGACTAACAACCTTAGACTGTCTTTTTGGAAAGGTTTTAGTGGCCCGAGATCGGACTTAAATTCGATCGTGTGATTATGGTTATCAAATGAATACTATCGAAATATACGCGTCACCAATCTTCGTACGTAGTCATCAACTTGTATCACGTTAGTGGTCAACGGAATTCAATAAGTCAAATACGAGAGGGGATTTTTAAGTACATTAATTTTGTACAAATGTTGATCAGAATAGACAATCAGAGGAACAGAGCAGAGGTAGCGAAGTGAAGAGAGCGAGGTAAAATGACGCACAGAGGAGAAGGTATATGAACCAACTATATGTATCAAGCGTTAATTGACACTTATAGTCACCAAAAAATAAGTTACAGAAATGTAGTCAGTAAGATAAAAAATACACAGTTAAAATTGGTGGACAAATGATTAACAAAGTCGAAATATGACTCAAGAAGAATGAATTGGTCTGTCTGCATGCTAGAATGAGCTATGTGTTTTTGCATAGCACTACAAGGTTCCTGGAATACTTGTAGACAGATATTTGATGGTGAGACTATAATTTGCGAATGAAATTTGAGCAACGCTAAAGTGATCCTGAAAATGCCCATCTACTACCTAGGAATAAATGCGGGTTGTAAAGCAGTGTGAGGAATGACAATTATAATTTACAGTTCATTAAAGTTAAGGTTAGGAATTAAATTTAGGGTTTTATCACGAGCTGACACCAGCTACAATGACGAAATAGTATTTAGCTAAATGAGTGTATGAATTTGACGCTAAAATTCGAGACCTGTTATCTTAAATCTGATTGGTCTGCCCATAAATTATAGTCTCGGTTACATCTTATTAGGAATATTTTAATTGATCATCAGGTATCTAATTCTTTTTTAATAGCTATCCGCTTTGTTGTTTATCAACCTTGTTTGTGATAGAAAAACCCTTGATTGTATAGCACAATCTGTACCGTTTGAGGCATATTATACTTTTGATAAAATTTGTTCTCTTACTCAAAGAAGAACCGTTTAATTCGAACACAGAGTTTTTGTTTTAATATAATTTAATATGAGTCACTCAATAAAATGCTTCGTATGATATATAGAAGGTAGTCTGATTTAGTGGAACAAACTTTTCTTCGTTAGTTCTGCGTTTAAACCGAATATTGGTATTTCGGTGTGAAGAAGTGGTTTTAAAACTAATTGATGGAGGGATCACAAGCTGTTAGAGTCCTTCATGATTGTTCTATTTATTATAACGAGCGGAGTATAGCATGGTTCCGTTTAGGAGGTCCGCCCTACCTTAATGTTTATTATCGATCAGCGTAACTCCACAGGTACTCGAAGCATGATACATCCACTTCATTGTTCCTGTAAGTAGAGTTTGTGAAAAATTCAATGATTATGACCTTAAATTTGTAGAATTAGCTATCAACAGAAACATTGATGAGGCTCTTAGTCGGTTTTTTCAAAAGATAGGTCAACCTTTACCTTATTTCTTTAGGTACCGAAGAATATTACACTGTTAATCTTCCTTTATTTTTCTCATTATTGACTGATATTATTAACTTTTTAGGCATACGACATTAAGACTAGATCAAAAGTGTCAATGCACAAGTGGTAATAATATCATATCAAAGCAATTTCAAGTGGTTCGCACAGAAAGCAGCAATATATCAACCGGTGTAAAATAATAACTATTAATACACAGTGAATGCTACTTGAGCTAAATGTCTTTGTTGAGAAGTATCATAATCTTATTTTCCTCAAGAAGGGTCTAGGTTTTTTCGACTTCCGAATACCAGCAGCTTGAAATAAAATATATCTTAGTGTTTTGAGATAAGAAGAGCCAGAAATTTCATGAAACATAGGGTAATCTGTTACATGTGCAATGTAGTTACATTGCATGGTATATTTAAGCATATGTACAAAGAAAATGAGAAATAACTATCTTTTTAATGCAACATATGAATTGCACTATGATTATGTGTACAATGTCACATAACAATGCAACATGTTATAAATTTATCTTTTTGAAACCAGATAGAATAAACAACCGCTCTATCGCTACACAGATACAAGTTAAAAAGGAAAAAGCAGTTTACCATTTATGTCTACCAAATTTTCGGGTGAATTTATCCGCAACGCAACCATGTAAACTTAATGCATCGCCCAGAGTCATCTGTGTGTTCGAGTAACCACAGGTCTGAAGACTTGAAAACTTTAAGAAATATTGGTCGCAACTTTGAAAGTAAGGCACTACAAGGTCACTTGAGAAAATTCGAAGTGTCGATTTGAAGGTAACTTTTTATGCTCGAGTTTTGATTGCTGTTTTGTTTAAAATACACAGTTTCTGTTATCTTTGGTCTAATATTGAAAAGAAATAATTATTACGCTCATAAGAATTACTCAGCTGAGCTTCACAAATAACAGTTTATAAACTGTTCTCTGTCTAGAATACATTTTCGAAATTAACGAGCATAAACCTATTTTGTAAATTCGTGTCATGTATATAGGCGGGGAATCTTGGCTTGCAGCCTGGTTTTTTTGTACGCTTACATAGAAGCGTCGTTATAATGACACTGACAATCGTACTTTTTTAGCTGACTTAAAATACATGTTAATCTTGTCAATTTACCAATAATCGCTAAAAATCTTTAGATCAACTCGTCTATCAATCACCTGTGAGCTGACTAGTCGTAGAGCAGCAAGTTAACGTCCATAATGCTGACTTTCCCAAGCTCCCAATTTTGGGGAAAATTTTACCTATTTTGGGGATATTTTGGGGAAGCCGCCATTATAAACTTTGGGGAAATTTTGGGGAAATGGCACAAAAACCCCAAAATTTCCCCAACCTTTGGGGATTTACCCAAAATTTCCCCAGACCTTGGGGATTTCTTCCCCTAAATTTCCACAAAATTATGGGTATTTCCCCAAAATTTCCCCAATAATTGTGGATTTCCCCAAAATTTCCCCAAACTTTGGGGAAGGCTGTTTAACTTTGGGGATTTCCCCAAAATATCCCCAAAGCTCCCCAAAATTTCCCCAGAATTGGGAGCTTGGGTTGTATTTATGTGAAAACAGTAAGGTGTTTTCCTGAGACAACCAACATCCGCAGCGATGCTACTTTCTTAAAATGAAAGAAGGGGATCAGAAAGGGTGATATGAACAATATCGCATCTCACCTTACTACATGGAAGAAAAACCTTTTGAAGTGTGGAGCTAACGCTTTAGAAACCAACTAGGCGTCAGCCTAATGATGAGAAAATGTCGAGAATATGTTTTAAGAACAACTAGAGAATCAGTTAGTCAATCTGGGAAGTGATATCTACCTTGAGGTAGCTTAGTGTGACATCCAAACAGCTGTGAAAATAGCGGTGATATCTACTAGTAACTTAAACCAAAAAGGTTAAGGAAGATGAGTGAATTTCATCGGCGTCTACAGGACTTATAGATACCCGAAGACTCACCCCGTCTGGCTCCAAACAAAGCGAGGAGTGGAGGCAACCTAATCATAGACTGATAAAAAGCCTACGCAATAATCGTTGGTAGTGGTGGGTAGCGAAAGAAAAACAGATGTTAGAGGGAGCGGCGATAGGTGATAGTATACAACTATTCAGACTTATCAAGGAAACGGTTGTTAAAAATCTAGCTGTTAGTGAGATTATCTTTCAGATTCAGATTTGTATAGTAAGGACAGAAGGCCTATGGCCTATGTTATTCCTTTTCTAGTATGCTTCTGTGAGTGTCCAGACTTCTCTTGAAAGAGTCAATTGAAGGTGCGGACACCACTGCTTCGGGCAGCAGGTTCCAAGTATTGATGACTCGGTGTGAGAACCTGTATGCCACAGGTATTTTGTTCGTTCTTGGCTTTTCTACTCGCCTGCTATGTCCTCTGAGATGTCCCGATCTAGTGGGAAGAAAGAGAGAGTAAGTTAGGTCCAAAATCATTTCTCAGTATTCTGTACATCAAAATTAAATCTCCCCTTAATCTGCGATAGGACAGTGTAAAGAGATCTAGCTTTTCAAGCCGCTCTTTGTATGGTAAACCCCGGAGTTCTGGAATTGCACGGGTAGCTGCCCTCTGAACTTTTTCTAGGATATCCGAATCACCTTTTAAACACGGGCTTGCAGCCTGAACGCAGTTCTGAAGCTTAGTTCTCACTAAGGACATGTATACTTTGGTGAACATGATAGTATCTAGCTTAGTGAACGTCCGTTTTAATGCCCAGAGGGTTCGAAACCCCTTAGCTGCGACCTCCCGGCAACGGGTCGTCGTCTTAAGATCCTGAATTACTGTCACCCCCAGATCCTTATGAGACCGATCCACTGGTAATTGCACTTCCCCTATGTTATACCTATTAACATTTGAGTCCCCGAAGTGCATGTAGACACACTTTGCCACGTTGATAGGCATCAGCCACTCTTCAGACCAATTAATTGTATTATTTAGGTCTGCCTGAAGAGCATCTGAGTCTGTGTCTCCAGTTATTACTCGCCAGATCTTTACATCGTCAGCGTATAATAAAATTGGAGACTGTACTATACTTGGAAGATCATTGACATACATTATAAAAAATAAAGGACCTAGGACGGAACCTTGAGGTACTCCACTAAGTACTGGTCTCCATATAGAGCACTTGGAATTTATTCTTACCTTCTGTCTACGACCTACTAGGAAATCCTTAATCCATTTTAAGAGAGGTCCAGCAATACCAAGACTTTCCAACTTCAATAACAGTCTATTTGTTGGCACCTTGTCAAAAGCCTTACTGAAGTCTATATAGACAACATTCACTGAATTTTCGTTGTCTAGCGCCTTTATCCAAAATTCCCTTGCTAAAAGGAGGTTTGTTGTACAGGATAGACCCTTTCTAAAACCATGTTGTTCTATGTTTAACAAGTTATTTGTTTCAATAAATTCCATTATTGTCCTTTTGACTATTCTTTCCAATATTTTAACTACAACGCTGGTGAGGCTTACAGGTCTGTAGTTCGGTGGAATTTGTCTTGGTCCTGTTTTATGTATGGGAGTGACGATTGCGTCCTTCCAGTACATAGGTAATACACCTTGATTAAGTGACATATTGAATATCACAGTCAGTGGGGCCGCGATATATTGTGCAATATGTCTCAATATTTTAGGGTGTAGTTCATCTGGTCCTGTTGACTTTTCCATGTTTGAGGTGCTAAGAGCCTTAAGCACATCGTCTTGGTCGAAGTCTACGGTGAGCAGGTGGTTTATTGACTCTTTATTTTTGTCTGGTTCTTTGTCCAAAGGAGGTTCTTGAGTGAAAACTGCCCCAAAGTAGTCAGCCATAGCCTCTGCTTTGTCCTGATCTTCTATCATTTCAAATTCACTCCCTTTAATTTGATTTGTAATCCAATGATGCATCCTTGTTCTGTAGTTTATGTACGAGAATATTCTTGGAAAAGGATTGAACTATTATTCACTCTTTGCAAGAGATTAGACTCATGGGCAGAATAAGGGTTATCCACTATCCCCAAACAACCTGAATGAGAAATCGGCACAAATTCCCGACTGTTAGTAAAGTTGGAGAGCTAAAAAAGTACCAGCACAAGAGAGAGCAGAAAGTCCAGATGAATTAGCCTCAGAGATCTTTAGCAGTGTCGGTTCAGTTTTAGCAGATAGATTGACAAATCTTAGAATCTGGGAACTGGATGTAGTTCCACTTAAATATTGTCGACCACTGATGTACAAGAAAGGATAAAAATTATTTTGTGATAATCACAGAGAGATCAGTTCAACGAATATAGTCTAAAATATTGACCTTAATAATACTTCGATATCTGACTAAAGCTAGTGAAGAGCGAACCCGGAATAACCAGGCTATTTTCAGGCCTAAATATGGGTATGTTGACCCAATATTCACCCGTCATTAGGTTTTGGAACACAGGCATGCTTTTCGACATAAAATATAATTGTATTCCTTGATCTTAAGGCAGCGTTTGACCGTTAATTGAGAGGTATCGTGGCAGTGCCTGTCACTGAAAAGAATACGAAAGAAATGCATAAATCTTGTACAAGCTTTCTACTCGAACACTACTGGTCAAGTCAGAGCTTATGACTAACTTGTCGTAATCGTCAACCTCAAATGGTGTTCATGAGGGCTGTTTATCTTCTCTATTTCTGTTTGACTTCGTTATAGACATCCTTATAGAGATGATGCTTTGACTGTTTGACTTTTTATTGGTTGATTATCTATCAGTCACTGGATTCGCGCTATTGTGAATTATTCTGAGTCTTGTCACACAAAGTCTCTACTAATCACTGTTATTGTTTGGATCCCAACCAGAGGGTCTACATTTATTAACATGACTTGATCCAATTATCAATGTCTTAACTGATTCCATGTTTTTGTTTAGCCGTTCCTAACCTTTTTCTAACCTATTCCAACAGCAGCCATCATCACGCATCGAGGTAGTCGATAGATGGCCACACGTAACTCATGTCCCAACCACCTTAGTTGATGAAGATTCACTACTCCATCAACCGATTTCCCAACTTCGCTATCTATTTCGTGCTTAATCTCAACATAACCTACTCGATGGGCCCAATATACGCGAGCAATGGTTTGAAGACATTTGTGATCGAATACTAGTAACCTACTACCATAATCTATTGCTAATATCCATATTTTACACCCACAAAGTAGAACAGAGTGAATCGTTGAGCAATAAACTCCTTTGGCCGACAGACGAACATCTTGCCTACACCATAATCGATGCAAGTTGCCAAAAGTCAATCGAGACTTCTGAATTCGTGTCGAGATTTCACACCCTAGCCCATCAAAAAGGATGTTATTATTTATTTATTTTAACACAAGGAGGCACCAAATACATATGCGCCACACAAATCTGATTTGATATGTGTGAGGGCTGTGATACTGCCCGGGTGCCCAAACCGAAGCGGGATCAAAAATGATGACTCGAGATAAATGAAGTGGTTAACACAATCGACTACTTGACCCCCTATCAGTAGTTCAGGCGTTGATGCATACCTGTCCTGAAACGATATTTTGAGTTCTTTCCTTTCTGATTTGAATAGTCTGTTGTTGCTTTGGCTTGGTTGCTTCATTCAGTTTCAGTAGTTATTGAAAATATATTATCGAATTAATCCTCATGATTGAATCTTGGTTTTTGATATGATCCCCGAAAATTAAACCTTACAGGTAGGCTTTGATTGATTGGGCTATGTATGACCTACAAACTAATCCCCTTCTATCGCGTATGACAGTAGACTATGTTTATTTTGTATTCAAATTGTGTATATGAGCAAGTTATTTTATGATAAGAAATGTCTAATTTTCTGGCTCAGTAGTCTCGTCTTCGATTTCTGATCATACGGGGCTTGAGTGAATAATACGGTCTTGTAAGCAGCCACCACTCAGTCGCATCATATCACTGTGTTTATCTATTAAATAACATTTGATTTACTGATTTCAACAATCCAAAATTTAGTCTCATCAAATCATCAAAGACGTCCTTCATGACAGTTACAATTTCTGATAACGCATTATCCAGGAGTGTTTGCATTATAAGACATTGGGAGGTAATCCAGAACAGTTTTATTTCATAATCAGATCAAGCTTATAGACTTTTTAACAACGGGAGTTGCCGAGAGGAATTAGTTACCAAACATCTTACATTTAACGGATGAAAGATTTTCCATTTTTATGTTAATCAACATCTTTGCAATAAATGTACGTAAAGAAAACAAGAGTCAGTTTTTGCTATTAAAACATTTATATTCTAGTGGTTGTCCTTTTCGTTACGCATTTTCTAGGGTTTTAGACACCAATTTGAAAACTACTCCACGTTACAATTTAAAGGTTCTTTGCAGCCTAGTTGTTTTGTATAAACATATCATCTGTAAATCTTGTATTATACTCCCTGATGAATCTGATTGCAAACTAATAACCAATAGTTTTTGAAGATTATTCATTGGGCTTTTCAGTGAATTGTATTATAAAAAAATACAATGTCTGAGGAAGATCAAAATTCCAAGGAGATTGTAACGTCGTATGATGAAATATTGGAGATTACAGGATTGTTAGCCATGCGTGATAATTCAATGTCATGTGTTGCTGAAAAGAAAGAGACTTCTAATTCAACGGATAATATCAATAATGGTGATGTTAGTAATGATGATGTATTACCAATACAAAGCTGTACACAATTACCACTTAGTTCTAGTCTGGTATCCTTAATTGAAGATGGTGGTTCCAATTGTCGAACAATTTCAATTGCTAAAACCAAAAATAATAACGTCGGTTTTACATTTACAGAAATAAAACAGGTATTAAATTTATATATATATATATATATATATATATATATATATATATATATATATATATATATATATATAGAGAGAGAGAGAGAGAGAGCATAGAACTAATGTAATGATTATCTTGATTCGTTTGTCGCTATCCAAGTGTTGAGTTGTTTCTATAACCTACGGATCGGGATGGATTTTATTTACAAGGGACAGTGTAAATGCAAAATATTTGCAGCTAGGGAATTTTAATGAGTACACTTGGTAATAACATTGATTAAACATTTAATAGAGTCTAGTCCTAGGTGTATGCACCTAGTGATTTTATTTCACTGACAGATTCGAGTAGACTTTTCCAACATCTTGAAAGCTTACTAGTAAAGTAATTCATATGAAGAGATTTAGGATAAAATCGTTCCACTAGTAAAAAAATGGCTACGACTCTTGTGACTAGGTGTTTCTGAAATATCATATCTCATTAGTGGATGTTAATGATAGTTTGTCAAGTTTTTTGAAGAAAAACATTAAGTTTAAAGAGGAAGAATACATTTGTAAAATCTTTAATGTCTCACATCAACTCGGTGCCCAAATGCTGTGAAACTATTCGATCAAATTTAGATGGATGTTCTTATAGATTAAATATAGTTTAAACTCTTGTTTCTATAAAATGTTGAGTTCAAGCTTATTACATTTGGGCTTGTAGCTTAGAATACAATCATTCTCAAGGATGTAAAGTGTATTATCATAATCAGATATACTATTGTCATTCTTTTCTCATTAGTTTTTTTTTTTTCTGTCTCAATAAATTGCACGCGTTATTTATTCTGAATTTGTTTTTCTTTTGTTTAAAGGGATTATTTGTTTCTCATGTAGACGAAAGATCTTCTGCAAAGTTGAATAAAGTACGTTTTGGTGATAAGATTCAATGCATAAATGATATAGAAGTTACATCTTATACTCAAGCTAAACAACTTATTGAAGAAACACATCCAACTGTAAATTTTTCTTTTCTCGACTGGTAAGATGATGCTTCTTTCCTCTCTTATTTAGTTTTTAAAAGTACTTAATCGTTATTTGGACTGCTTAAAAAGTGAAAATTAAATTTGCATAGTTTTCTAATTGTTACTTAACAAATAAAAGAAACTATTTGAATTGAAAAGACATAGGGGAGGCATATAACGTCCCAGTGTTACCTACCCTATGTTTGATTTATATTAAGTGGATTAGCGTGCGTGTCTGATTGTGTAACGCATTTCAGAAGTGCAGTTTGATATTTTATTATCCTTAGGCCAAATTAACTTCTGTTGTCAATGGGCACAATAATTGCTTCGTCATGTCACGATATATTGATATGAAATATCGGAGTGCTTGAATCGTTTTACGTACTCCCAAGATGAAAAACTTTATTTCAGTTCTGCTTTAAATTAGTATCCAGTTTAATATTAATAACTTTGGCGACATGGCTGAGAATCGACCACAAAGGCGTTGGTGTATACACTTTATCTTCCCTTAAACTGTGAGGTTAAATTTAATTTATACCTTTCTTTCTACGAACTAATTCTTTTTCCCTGTATCATATCCGTATATACAGTCTTTTCTATATATTGCTACCACTGAATTAACTGGTTCTATGAATTCGGTGTTCATTTTATTGTGCTAACGATGTATGGAAACTTGAACCGATGCATATATTTGCCTGATCCTACGTTTTAGATGACTGACCAACTTAATACTAATAACTGATTTGGTTAGATACGTTAAGCATTTCAGTTGCTCGACGGGTTAAATTTATATTAGCTGATTATTGATTAACAAAGTTTCAACTCAAGTATTAACAACTGTATTTTAAGACTTATTACGCACAAAAGGTGTTTGGTACAAATAGGGAGCCAATAAATGTCTCACATAAAATGAAATGACAATATTTTGAATAAATAAAATGGAATAAATCCTAAAACCTAGGGTAAAAAGTATTAACTGAAGCAGTCCAAGTTCAATTAAATGATCTGCCATGCTGTACATAAGGGATATAATAGAAAAAATTATTTCAGCATCATCATTGGTTTTTATTTCGACCTATAGATAACCTTTTACATAATCAAATAAATAATGTAAAGGGTTTAAAACATAAATCCCTTTAGTCTATTGTTGTAAACCAAAAGGTTGCTAACTCCATACAAATACATTTCGTTCAACAGTGCGTCTCAATTTATTTCCATTTTATCTTAGTGTCAAAAAATAATTCTCTATATGGGGAGCCTCTGAGAGAACATTTGTAAAATGTGGCTCAACCACCAGATTGGATGTTTTCAAGATAGTAACATTCATTCAATAATTCATATTGATATGTAGCTTTCAGGTTTGTATTACATTAATATTGGTCTTTTTCTGGCATTTACACAGCCACAAGTATACACGAAGTTTTTAAATATTTTGAGCAATCCACTATAAAGTTAGAGTGAAGCCACAGATTCATATCGATTTTGTAGAAGTGCTTTACATTTCAATCGTGCTAAGCACATACTATACTTAGGGTTGGTGGTCAACAATTGATGGAATGAATAGTCTATACCTCATTTCATATTGAAATGATGTTCTCATACTCAAGGTCAAAACATCTTTCAACTGGTGATAAATTTACACCTTTAGAATGTGATCGATAGCGTAATTGTAGTGAATTGAGCGGATTTAACGGCAGTACTTCCAGTTTTGAACAATTTAGGAATATGGTTATGTGGCTTTGACCTATCTGAAATGTTTTTGACAAGGTCTTAAAAATTTTAGTAAACATCGCAAATATCTATTAATAGTCAATAATACTGGAAGACAACTCCATCCAACGAATTAGATGTAGCTCCAATGTCTAGAAATACAATAATTAGTGGTGACCTGTAATAAACGTAATGGTGTCGAAGCATATGAAGACAGGTAAGAATGTAATCGGCGCATTTCTGAGTTAAATAAAACCTGACCTGCTCCTAAAGACTCAACATTACACTTATTTCTCACGATGTGCGTATTATCATAGAAGGCATTATTTTGGAATCAATCGATGACACAATGTACGCCACATACTCTAAGAAGACAGAGTTGATTGAATAATCCTGGTGGGAGGCCTGTATATATATAACATCAATCTGTAAGTTAGTCCTGGATGTTACCATTCCTTTATTCTTCGTTTGTATATAACAGTTATCTCATACATCTATTGAATATTAGATCAAGAAGTTATATTTATAGTAAACAAACAGACAATATAACAAATCGACTATACAAGTTTATTCATATTATTTTCCTATTTGTTTCTTTTATTTAGCCCTTATAGAGAAATTAAAACAATTTATAAAATTCATGGAAGATGTGGTCTTTTCATCAATGATGGTATGATTTTAGATCGTACAAAATATTTCAGTGCAAAAAGTGATAAAATTCCATTAAATTATTATATTACTGAAATTGATGGTCATAATACTGTTCGTCTATTAGATGAGAAAATAGTTTTATTAGTTGAACGTGCTAATTCACCATTCTCTATTCATATTGTACCACAATGGTTTTATGAATATCTTGTTTTTGGGTAAGTTATTATATCTTCTTTTTTTTTTCTTTATATCCATTAAATTGTTTAACTGTCTTTATTCTCTATGCTGAAGCCAGTGAAAAAAAAATTAGAGTCTTCTAACTATCTTATGCGATAATCTAAGCAAAACGTTGTCTTAGTACTGGTTTGCGTCAACACTTAAGCTGAACGATAAGGAGGAAAGTAGTTCAGTGTGTTGATCACTTTTGTTTTTTGGCTTTATACAATATAGAATTCTCAGCACAAAGTATTTTAACAGTTTACCTTAACAAACGTTATTCTCATCAAAATTTTATTTATTCTTTTCTTATTTCATATCATAGATTAGATCCATCAGGAAATGAACTCAAAAAAGGTAAACAAACACTTTTTAGCTGTTTCCATAAATCATGAATACATAACTAGGCATAAATCAATGCTAATTCATTCTTTTTGTTTATATTGTCTATACTTAATCATATTTATTTCTGTCTATTTATCATTAATCAGAATATTTATCCTTTATGAATTAACATATTATTGTAAATCATGAAGATGAACTACAAAAAAATAAGGAAACCAATTCTAGACTATTCTACCTTATTTTCTCTAATTCCTCCTCCCCCCCCTCTATGTACTTTACTTACCTATTTGCCTTTCCATGATCTCTATAAAGCGCCATTTTGTTTTTGTAAAAATCTCAAATGTATTTTGTTTTATATTAGTTGTTTGTTTTGTTTTCCGGTTCTTTATCGTTAATTACTTGTTCATATCAGCGATCTTATTTTCTTGGAAATTTGCCTTAGTTACTACCATTATTATTATTATTATTGCTTGATATTTTATCATTGTTAATTTGTTTATTGTCCGCAAAGATTAGTATTTATCAATTTTTTTCCATTTTCTTTTCTCCCTCTAAAAAAATTAATTGAAAGGAATGTTTATTATTATTATTATTATTATTATTATTATTATTATTATTATTATTATTATTAATAGTCTGATAGAATTCACTTGGTATTATTTTACTTGAATCTTCCTATTGAAGTTTAGGACTGAAATTAATCAATTTCTTATTGGCATATGTGCATACTGTGCGTATTGCCTCGATATTGCTAAGTGAATAACGCGATGGTGTTTGAAGCGAAGGGTACTGGGTTCGAGTCCCAGAGTGAACATCAAACTTGAGATACAGGTACATCTAGTTGACGAGTCTCAAATAAGACGGAACATGTGTCCTGGATTCCACTGTTAATCACTATCCATCTTTTCTTATAATCTGATAGAATATTTTCATGATTTCGCCTTATTTTAATTAATTTAGTTCAATAGAACTCTGTAATTGTAAACTCTTTATAATTGATATGATGAATAGGTGATACGATTACTATTACCGGATCGTTTGAATCAGAATTAATGTAATAGAATTCAGATCCGGTTTTTTTTCTGGTCAACGTCGTTATTATTTCTAAGAATTTGATTCAACGACTAACTTGTATTAAATAATAGATAAACCAACTCATTGATCTGTTGTTTAGTTCAACTTACTGTTAACACAGAAAAATAACTTTAAATACCGTTTAAAGTAACATACAGATCCAATGGATTCAAATAATTGATAATGTTACATTATGAAATGATGGCAAAAATTAACGGGTATACTTAGAGTAGAATCTAGTGGATTTGAATTTGTTTCGAAGGTTATACCAAGTGAATAAAAACTATTTGAGATGTGAGCTAACATATACATATAATTTAATATTCCTATTTCCACACTAGTATTCGATCACAGGTGTCTTCGAAACATTGCTTGTATATCCTGGGACCACCGAGTAAGTAATGCAGTTGCTAGGAAACGGGTACTAGGTAAGGATGGCAAATCAATTGATGAAGTGGTAAAACTTCATCAGTTGAGGTGGCTTGGAGACGTGTTACGTATGCCCAACCACCGACTGTCCTGCTTCGGTTTGGGCTTCTGGGGAGTATCACAGCCCTCACACATATCAAATGAGATCTGTGTGGCGCATATGTATCTGGTGCCTCTTTATACCAATATCTGATAATAACCACCGACATGAGATGTATTCTGGTGTAGGAGTAGGTTGAAAGAAAGCTAGGGGCGGCCAGACCAAAACATGGCAGAAATCCATGAAGTCACTGACAAGTGGACTGAGCCATGTTGATAGATGTAGACTACTTGGTTGGGGACCGTGAGATGATAGTAACCGATGGTTAGAGACCTTGAATGACATGGTTCAAAATCGTTTGCAGTGGTGCAGGTGCATCCACTCTTTGTGTCCTTTCAAGTTCTAATCTCCTGAATTCTCCTTGTCACTTTTTTTTATCTTTCCAAATTTGCTTCACTGGATTATACTTCTTGAATAACATCTTCACACCCTAATGTTTTCGATTACTGCTTGTACTTTTACTACATCTAACATTTCGGGATTTGTATCGACAACTGCATCTCTGTGCTAATGTGGTATGGCAACTCGAATTGATATACGTACGTACGAAGTTCTACGTTGTTACTGACTGACATTTACAGAACGTTCATCTATAAGTATATAAGATAATTTTCTGTCAATCTTTGAAAAGTGTTTAATATCGTTGTAAAAACTATGTATGCTGGTTATAGTATAGCAGTAAACTATTCTTGAGGTGTTAACAATTCTTTTATACATCTAGATCAGGTATCATTTGTTTTAATCAAATGTCAATTTTGTCAAAAAAGACGGTTATCTTTTAGTTGATGGATTTAGTTTAGTACATCAAGAATCTTTATATGAACGATTTCATTTACTATCTTAACGGACATTAAAAAACATAATTTTATTTCAAATACTTAGAGAATGTTAAACAGTGTGTAATAAGATGATCACCTAGTATATTCCAGGACTAATAATATAATTGGCTATGAATGAATAAAGTCCTTCAAAAATTTTTCATTTAAACTTTATTACTGTTATCCGACAAATTGTTCGTGTCTTAACCTTCAAATATATTTACTAACATTTCATAGTTTACATTATCAACTGGCCTTAATGAAGCGACTACCAAAAGCCCGGAAGCAATAAACATCTGTTTCATCCTAGTATGAGACACCTAAGTAATGCATATTAACAACTCTACCGAGTATCGAACCCATCGTATTCGTTGTCGCAGAGAGTACCTCATCACCGAGTTTGCATCCAATTTTTTACTTGTGTAACTTTAATCGAATCACTGTATTGTGCGACCATCTTCCAATGCTTGTGACAAATGACTGTCTCTTACACAACATGGTTGGACTCCACTTGTCATGACTTTTCACTAGAACTCATTGAATTACCTGCTAAAGTCAATGTTTAGTAAGCAGAAACTCCCTATACTCATTAATATGTCAAGCAAAGTTGGGTATTGGTTAGCAGTGGGATCTAGACACGCGTTTTGTTCTACATAGGATTCGTTAGATGGGTATGCTTACACACCAGTGTTAATGCCCACATTATAACTCAAACCCAGTACCTTTCGCTTCAAAGGCTCAACACCAGTGACTATCGAACTCTGCCTAAAATGCTTATGGTATAATAGCAATGTCGAATCATTTCTCACAGAATCGGCATGTACTAAAGGAGGCAAAAATTTATATCTACCAATATAAGGTACTAACAAGTAGTGTATGTGATAAGAAGGCAAATCTATGATTACGTGACGAGTTATATCTTACAGATAAGGCAGTTGATTTATTGATTTTGTAAGTTATATAAACATATTTAAATTACTGATTGACCAATAGTTCAATGTACTCGAATTTACTTACAGACCAAGCATTTAAAATGTTAAATATTTCATGATCGTTTTCAATGTTCTATTAATTAGGGATTGGTGAATAAATCAGTCCATTTCTATAGTTTTGTTTTGTTCCTTGTGTCAGCATATTAATCATATTCTGTTACAATTAGTGTTAGTAGGCAATTATTTTGGAGTCACAGGAAACAGTCATACCAGTAATCAGCATTTATGTCAAGACACAACAGTATGATAAACAGGATTAAGGTATCGATGATATTAATATTTTCGCTTTAATTTAGTACCATATATTCGATTGAAATAAAGATTTCTCAACAAGAAATAAGCAGAAACTCATTTATTTTCATAGATTCCTAAACTAACAAACTATTTAGTTACGTTTTATCGATGTCACGAGACAATTTATGTTAGACAATCTGCGAAGATGTGGAAGCACTAAATAGCCGTTTTGTTTCAGTATAGGACTCTTCAGCAGTGGCCATCCACGACTCGCAGGCGATAGTCGAACCAATGACCTTCGGTCGTTATATATATTTTTTCAATAGCGGCTGAATGTCATTCATCTTCATTCGTATCAATGGTAGTTTTTCATAAAAATTTTGATGAATAATACTTTTCATTTCAATTCTTCGATTGATAGATTATAATGCAAGATTCGTTAGATAACCTAAATGGTAGGACGAGTAAGAACAGTAAAGCTAATTTATATAGATCCTTAATTCAATATTGTCTGGCTAGTGAGCCCAGGGCAGGTTTGAATGGAGAGTGCTGGTGAGCGGCCTATGCTCCTTCACGAGGAGTAACAGGTGTTAGTAAGTGAATAGTGAGCACTTGGAATTTGTAGGACTAGTTTTGAACTACTTATAAGGTTGTATAGCAGTATGAGTTGCATCGCTAAATGTTTTCTAGTGAACTATGCACTAGAACGTTTGTATTATTAGACATATCTTAGTATTTGAAGTAAAATCGTATTTTTATTGCCTTCTGTATAATCAGCGACTAAACTTATTCAAAATCACTTGTTCATATCTTCTTATAAGCAAAGTTGAACGGTGACCAGCAGTGGAATTGAGGATGTGCGTATTGATCTTTTTGGGACTTGTTAGCTAGATGTATCTGCTCAAGATACCCATATGCCAAGAAAGAATAATCAGAAACAGATTCGTCGACTAAGCAATAATTGTATTTTTGATAGATTTAACACTTCATTAATGCAGATTATACCTGATCTAGATGTATAACAGAAGCGGTAGTGTAGTGAACAGAACACGAGTGGGGGACAATCGGATTGTTAATCAAATCTAACAATCATATAGTAATTTGCAAAATGTCCATCAGTTGTCTGAAAATGACCCAAACTACATTGTTTTTTGCATTTTCATACAAATTACATTCTGTTCCCATTCTTTACTGTTCGATCTGCTTGTCTCTCTGCTGTCAGACATTCTGTTCACGACTAACATCACATACTACTTATATCGATATAAGTAGCACACATCACATTAGTATCGCAAGAATAATCTACTTACTTATGATAAAATCAAAATATCGATAGACATGTTTTACAGTTCAATAGTATACTTTCTGCCCACTGAATCTCAAATATTTTATAAGAGTGAAAGTTTGAATATTATCATGTAAATAATGATAGTTAAAATCTTTCAATGTTGTTTTCTTTGAAAAACAAAATTCCATTAGATTGTGAATAAAACTTAAATATGACATAGGTTTCCTTTTCTTTTCTTTTCTTTTTTTGGACTTTAAACCAAACAGACAACTTTGATCCATTATGTACTATGTATTAGAATTAACAAGAAACTTATCAGATTTATTGTAGTATTTTTCTAAAAGATTAGTAGAACAATCAATTTTTAATAGCGTAGGGCAAGATGTGTAGTTGAAGAAGGGATCTTTTAGTAAAAAAAAAAAGAAATTACTAGCTAGATTTACAAACCCCGTGATCATAGAAAGAAAATCTTAGATTATGTAATAAGGGTTTTAGTATAATTTATAAAATTTCAATATATAGAGTGGTATGTAACTAGGACATGACTGTTATAAAAATGATCAACCTATTTACCTAGTTAATTGAATTCTTTTCAATCAATAAACTAAAACATGCTAAAATTGTTGTATATACTGACAAGTTAAAAATAACTGTGATGAAATTTCA